TTCACATAACAAATAATTTAAGGGTTCTATTCCCTCAAGTCAAGGTTAACCACGACACTTACCGCGCTATGCAAATTCCAATAAATTACTCGACCACCGCTTTTCCTTTTAAATTTGTCTTCAAAAGCTTCAAATCTATTCACAAATAATTCGATATACTCAATACAAATCGTAGGAATTAATTCCATATGAATTTACTAATTTTCCGGATAAAAATTCGAAATTCACTTTAAAAATTGACAGTGGGGCCCACATATCAAATCTTGAAAAAACTTACGAAATCCGAACACCCATTCCTAGACGAGTCCAACCATACAAAAATTATCAAATTCCGACATCGGATTGACCTTCGAAGCTTCGTTTTACATTTTTGGAAGGTTTTGTAAAAATCTGATTTTTCTTCCATAAATTCATGGATTCATGATGTAAATGAGTATGGAATCATGAAATATAATCAATATAGGATAAGGAACACTTACCCCAATTTTTTCCCGTGAAAATCGCCCAAACATCGCCTAAATCGAGCTCCCCAAACTCAAAAATGAGTAAAATGGCTAAACTCCCCGTTTTATGGGGTTTCTGGCGTTTTCGAGCGCCACAGGTAGCGTGGGGTGCTGCCTGTGGCGCACTTTCCAGAACACCAATAATTCTCAGCGCCAGGGCTAGCGCCCCACGCTACCCTGGGCACTGGCGGCTACGAAAAATCTTTCCCGACACGAAAATGGGCATAACTCTCTCATACTATGTCCGAATTTGACGATTCTTTTTGCTATGGCTCCAAAATTTCAATACGGATCTAATGCTTCCATCAAAACTGAATTTGGAATTCATTTGCTTAATGGGATACCACTTATTCTTGAAGAAACGACGTCGAACGTTCTTGAAATGCCAAAATTAAATTCCGTTGACCACCCGAAATCCACCCGAGGCCCTCGGGATCTCAACCAAATATACCAACAAGTCCTAAAACATTATACGGACTTACTCGGGGTCTCATATCACGTCAAACGACGCTGAAATTACAATTCACACCTCGATTCGATCTTTTGAGTTTTCAAACTTTTCAATTTACAAATCTTGTGCCAAAACATGTTAAATGAATCCGGAATGACTTTAAATTTGGCACACAAGTCATAAATGACATAACGGAGCTATTTCAATTTTCCGAATCGGATTCCGACCCCGATATCAAAAAGTCAACCCTGTGGTCAAACTTGAAAATCTTTAGCCTTTAAATTGCTAGTTCCGTTAAATGGTTATAACTTAAGCTAGGGACCTCCAAATTAAATTCCGGGCATACGCCCAAGTCCCAAATCACGATACGGAGCTACCGGAACTGGCAAAACACTAATCCGGGTCTGTTTGCTAAAAATATTGACCAAAGTCAACTCACTTGAATTTTAAAGCTCTATTTCACATTTTAATTCATATTTCACATAAAAACTTTTCAGAAAATTTTACGGACTGTGCACGCAAGTCGAGGAAGGATAAATGGTGCTTTTCGAGGTCTTAGAGCATAGAATTACTTATTAAATTTAAAGATGACATTTTGAGTCATCACATATAGGCAACCCATAAAGTTGACAATAATTGAAGTAGAGGTACAAAATGTACCATGTGGCAAATGAGTCTTCTGTATTAGTCCTATGTTGTTGCTACATAGATCAAGAAAATCTTTAGTCGATAAGAAGTCCAACAACCAATGGTTTGTGTTATTCTGCATAAATTTAAACCTACTAGGATGTGAACATTCTTATGCTAAACCCTTTTCTGCTAGTTGTTACACATCAATAAATGGTAAGGAATAAAGTACAATAAGGTCGGACGAGCTAGCTCCATGTGCATCTAACAACAAGTATGCCGAAGTGTTCTTAAGCTAAAAAAAATCTTCATATCCTTAAGAAAGAATTTAAGAAAGACCCTTGATGGCATTCATGAAAGGAACTGTTGTAATGTCATAAGCAAAAGAGTTAAGAGAGTAGATAAAACTATAGAGAGGAAGACTAACAAGTTTACTTTGGAATATGAGCAATGCTAGCCGGTATAACTCCAGCCATCTTGTTGTAGGATAGGTATCTGTAATAACTAGAGATATCAAATCTGACACTAGTTGAAAGCTTAAGCATGATAATACTTGTAAATGCTGGATAGAGATAGTGGTTATTGACCAGAAATACACACTTAACATGAAGAAACATAGAACTTACAAGATCTTCAAGTTCGTCAAATTTGCAAGCTGTGCTGGAATGCCACCAGTAAGATAATTATTATTTAAGTAACTGCAAGTCTAAGTGGCAAGATGAGAAGTCCCTTTATTAGCACATCTTCGATCAAGTTAGCTGCAAGTTAAAGAGGCAAGATATTTTCAGGCAATAATCAACTTACAGGTTACGAAGGGCTGGAAAGCATCCTTCACGCGTATGAGTTCCCGAATAGTCCCAACCAAACAATTGTTACCAACATCCCAAGAATTGCATCAGATCACACTGTCAACCATGTTGGAGACAGGTTGGGTTGCTTAATTAAAATAAAGAAAGATAGAAGACACTATCTTACAGGTGCCGAAGATACTGCAAAGTGCCCAACTCAGGTGGAATTCGTCCAGCAAAATGATTTTCATGCAGATGGAGATAACGCAGCTCTGGGAGATTAGCAAGCTCCTTGGGGATTTCGCCTTTAATATTATTAAAACTCAGGTAGCTGAATAAGATCGAAGGGATTAATTATTAGTTATGACCCTAAACAGGTCAGGTCATAGATAGTAAAGACTGAAAAGGTATTGAAGTACTCACAAATGTGTTAGCTGCTTTAGTTCACCAATATCAGGAGGAATGACATCTTGCAGCTTATTCCACCTTATATTTCTGGAAGAGAAAATTCAAGAA